TAGTTTGAGGTATGGAAATGGTGAATCTGATAATGTAGTGGAAGATAAAGGAGAAGTGAAAGCTTTGTATGTTCCTTCTGGTTATGGTTTAGAAGCAACGGATCTCTGTGAGGTTATATTCGGAGGTTACTTTCCTTGTGTGTTACGTAACAAAAGACGTCAAGAAGATGAAAATCGTGCGGCTGATGTTGTTTCTTGCTGGGAAAGCAACGATTCCGATCCGTGGAAGACGACTTCCGATTACCTTTTCGGAGATTCGTACCCGTACGGTTACGAGAATCGAGTCGAAAGAAATCAGTTCGAGATCTCATCTTATGGTTACCGGAGGTATTAACCGAAGTTAATTACCATCAGAATTCAGATGTGGCAAATGTGGGAGGTAAGAACATTTTTTAAATAATTGACGGAAGCTGATTTATTAGTATATGATTGGTCCAATGTTCTTACCAATAATTGTTATAGCGATGGGGATAATGATGTTTCACTCTCTCTTTCTACTTTTATTATTTTAGTATCTAAATCATTTGTCCATAGGACCATAGTTTATTTATTTTCCACACTTCAACTGTATTTACTATTTACAACATAAAAATTTGCGTTACAATATTTTCCATTCTCTTCTTTGTTTTGATAAAAACAATGCAATATTTTCAGATTCAAAGGTGCAGGGAGTTTTGTATAATTAGTACTTTTTACCTTTGCAAATATATTGTTTAGTAGACTGTTTTCAAGTTTTGAATCATGCTTAAAATTGATTAGTCTCGAATTTTTATGTTCTCTCTTACGAATTTTCGAAATTATTTTGTATTTTTAGTTCTAAGTTGAATGGCGAATTGGACTAATATGCTAATAATAATCTATGATTAACCATGTTTGATACAGAAAATTCTTTCAAAAAGAGCCTAAAAATATCATATCAGTAGAAGAATTTATTTATAGAAAGGTAGAAGAAAAAAGGAAATATCATTACATACCCCTACACACGTGTTAAGTTATGGATAGAGTTCATATTCACAGAACGCGACACACGACTCGATCACTCACTCACTGAGTAGCAATTTCCTCTCTAAAGCGAGCGAACGAAGTTGCTTACTGGAGCTCAACGATAGCGAATCTGCCACTAGGGCTTTGTGTCGGAAGCTTGATCAACGTTACGGACGCCGAGATTCACGTGTACGACAACAAAAGGTTCACCATAATCGCCAACGGTCTCTATGTTCCCGGTGGTAGCCAATCTCTTTACGCTTCCAAGTTCCAGAACGTCGGTGCTGCTGCTTCTCCTGGTACACATTCCAAAGGAATCTCATTTATCAGGTAACTTTCTCTCCTGGTTCTAAAGTTTCTTGAACACAATTTGCTTTTAAT